CAAAGACCGCTAATACAAGCTATTGCAGATAACTAAAGAAGGATTGCAATGTTGCTGGAATTCTTATTGATTTTCTCCTAAAGGTAAATGCGTAGGTCACGCACACTTTGGATAGCAGATTACCGCCGCAGAACACCAGTAAGTGGCTTAGCAACACTCCGAAGTCGGGGACGGATTGCCGCTTGACTGCAGAACAGTAAGTTCCATTCTCTTCCATGGCTAAAACGCCTTCATAACCAAAGTCAACAACGCTGGCTACGACGAAACCGAAGCTGTGATTCAGCATACAAAAGCAAGCTAGTTGCATGGAAGGCCTATGTATTGCCTCATGAAACTAGGACCGCCAACTAGACTGGACTGTTCTCTAACCAGCTCCTACCGGCACTCTCAACAGAAGGGATCAATGTGTGGTGATATTTTGATTTGCAAAAGATGCTGACTGCCACATACCGGTCTAAAAAACTGTGCTTGTCAGACTTTTATCTGTAAGCCAAACTCGAAGGAGAGAAACAACAGGGAACATAGTATCATCCCCAACGTCTGTTAATAAAACACGAAGGTAGAAAAACCTGTACATCAAAATTAAGTGGATTCCATCATGGTTCATAAGTGGTAAAAGACTAAATACATCAGTCCCAAACCCACTGTAAAGGAAGACTTAGTCACGTGCATTTGGACAATGGTGAACAGATTTGGTAAATGACAGGAAAAGGAACAGTGAAGCAGAAGTTGAAAGAAGTGTGATTCAGCGAATTGAATGTCAAATTCGATCCCCTATAAGTAGCTACGTGGCTACGTCCAAAGTTCCATGGCCTCGGAAAAGGACCTGATCAACGCGGAGCGTTTTCATGGGGCGAAGTGAGATAGGTCTGAACAACTAGCCCCCTTCTAGTGTTGTTCTAAAACGGTATGTTTGAGAATCATGGTCAGCTCTCCGAAATGACTGATCACGCTTGTTTCTCACGTCGTCATTATGGTTAAGATAGTAACACGTTCCAACTTGTTGTCGGTCTCAACAGATTTGAACTATTTCAGCGGGTTTCTCCTACGTGACAGAGAAGGTTACTGAACGATGTATGTTTGAGATTCATCGTGAAGAATGCTACCTAGTTGATAACATCTTAACTGGTCCCCCCAATCAAATTGTCGACGGGATATACCAAATCTTCAGTGTCAGTGATGAGTGCGAATGAATCATTGAGGAGAAAGGAATGTAAAATTCCGCGTATGCAGTAGTTTGTGACCGCAGTGTACGTTCGAGAACAGCTGATACGAAGAGCACTTATGGACACTCTGATACGGAAAACTAGGAGGCCCTTTAAGCATAATAAAACAAAGAGCGGTTCGTCCAACTTCGATACTCTGTGGAACTGAGACCAACATCGTGCAATTCGTAGGAGGCACGAAAAACTTTAAACAAATCCGGGGAAGTACCTAACTTTAACAGACTGTTAGTTGTGCTACGTGCTTTACCTCAGACTGATATAAAGCCAGATAATCACTTGACATCTAGTCTCAGTTTCCTAATAAATCAAGGGTTTGTTTTCAGTGAAAGCAGAGAATAGGTGAGACCAAAACGCACAAACGGTAAAATGTGAAACAAAAAAACGCAGGAGAAAATTACTTACTTTCCACCGGTGTCCGCAATGGTTGCAAAATACAAAAGTGGTCATCGGTTCATCGGCGCTCCGGGTTTGTACCTGTCCAGGTAAACAGCAGAAAATAATCGTTTGGTCAAAATAGTTTTCCAGTGTGGAAATCGATGTATGTTTCCAGTTGCATTGTCCAATTTTAAATTCTCTATGGCGAGTGCAATGTATATCTACCCGAGACACTGATGAAGATACTCTCTTGTGGGGACTATGGAATCGCAGCGATTGCAGTCGCCAAAACCCGAAGTACGAACCCTCGACAGTAGCTGACTTTTCTTCAAAACCATATGGTTACAGCCAAGAAAATACTGGTTGTTGCGCGGCTTATATCACTTTGATAACCAAAAATAAAGTATCTTCATGGAACGAAAAAAACCGCAACGAACAATTCTGATATCCTGGCTAGCTAGTCGGCTTCGTCCCCAAAAAGAGATTGAACAACCGAGTCCAGCTTTGGAAGAATTCACACACACATTTCCATGCACAAGAAAAACAGCTCACAAGAGTAACAAACCGTCGTCATTCAACTTTAACACGTTTTTAGGTGCATAGCAGCCATGCTACCGGAAGGAAGCGCGAGGGTTACCAGGTTGCCCTATTCTAGACAGAAGCCGTCGAGATGCCGTAGTTGGGTTCGGACCACGGACCTTCCACTCCGCGCCTTAACTAGTGCGGTACCGCCAGATCTAGGATTCACGAAGCGCCCAGTAGTCTCAGATTTCTCAGTACCGGGAGAAGTATTCCCAATGGTGCGTGGGACAATTCAGAAGATACTACGATGACTGGCGATAGTGTGTAGCACTGGTTGAAAAGGTGCATACCGAGAGTAGAATCCATGCTACACAATATATGAAGAGTAGTGGAATACTATGACAAACTATCCTGACAGTTCACTACCAATGATAAGGATTAGTTGGGCGAGAGCAGTTGACGTCGCTGGAAGAATGTATAAAACGGTAAGCCAATTGCGAGTTCGTGGTCACCTGTAGTGTGACACTGCTGAAGAGTACTCACAACTGTTTCGCTGTCTCCGAGATGACATGATCGATCCACACTATCTTCCTCTTCTGAAGCGCTATACCGCCGAAGACAATGTTTGACTAGAGAGTGTTACTTGCGTGTTCGCACGTCATGCTTCTAGTGTGGTTCAGCAATGAAGAAGTCCGATAATCCAGGTGACGGAACCTCTGATAGCACACCACACGAACCAAAATCAGCTGAGAAGAGTGAAGGGGGAATATATGAAAACACTATGGAACTCACCTGGTTGTATGTACACTTGTTCTGTTTACATTTCCCACATTTGAGCAGGTCGGTTTCGGTCCCTCCAGTGACAGCCATCTGGTGATCCTCGATTGTTTCTTTCGTATACTTTTCACGCAGTTCTTTCATCTCCTTGCTAGCCATTTCCTGTGAGACAAGGGAATAAGGCAGGTTTATTCTGACCAGAAAGGAATATCATTGGGTTCAGGAAATCTCGTAGCCAATGTGGGCTGAAATATTACGACTTTCTTACGTTGTGCTCGATTATCATCATCATCAAAAGACAGCAAGATCAGTATTGACACTAATGCTTGACTGCCGTACAACCATAGGGCTCGCTCAATTGTACCTAAATACCTAGAGTGAACAGAAGAGAAAAACAGTGGATCAGGGATGGGACCTAGTGCAGGTCTGTGTCAACAGTACCCAGGTGCCTACACATCCAAGCGCTCAGACAACCTGGAGAAAACTGAGAGCACGAACGCCACTAACATCGATTCGCAGCCATTTCTTGCAACGTCTCCAGTCAAGCACAGACGGGGTCACAACACTGACAACACCCAAACTCATCGTGATCTGTTTCACGCCCTTCTGCCAAGTCATGCGTCGTCTACCTCGCGCGGTTTGCGCTATTCTGAAGGGAGGCAAGGAGAACAACACTCGTCTCGGTGGACGGTGTTTCGGCGAGCGTAGCACATGACCGAGTAATCGCAGTCGATTATGCCGGATGTTTTCACCGAGTGAAGTACCTGTTGCACAACCAAATATCCGTTTTCTAATCAGCTCGCCATTAACACGCTGACGCCATCCAAAACCAGCCACGTTTCTGAGGCATCGGTGGTCAAATACCTGAAAACGCCTCACATCTTCAGTCCGTAGAGGCCATGTCTCGCACTCATACAACAACACAGCCCTTACTGTAGCCTGGTACACAGGACCCTTAAGATCTAGTGAGATGCCTTTTTGACGCCACAAGTGACGCAAATTAGCAAACATGATTCGAGTCTTCGAGATTCTTGCACTAACTTCATCAGACACACTTCCGTCAGAGCTAATACAACTACCGAGGTATGTAAAGTTTTCCAGTCTCCAGTGATTCGCCGTGAATTTTAAGGGATATGTTCACAGATGGCACGTTCTGAAGCAGGACTTTCCACTTTGAAGGTGCAAGGCGCATGCCAAAAGATGTTATGATGGCGGTCAGTTTATTCAACAGGGCTTGTGCTTCGCTTTGATCTGTCATCTGCGTACTCTAGAGTGACGAGGTTCTCATTAACAACAATTTGAACACCGGAGTTTTGAAGATTTTCAAGCGTACGCTTCATCATTTTATCAATTAAATTGAACAAGAATGGGGGAGTGGAAATCCGTGTCGGACACCACTTTTTGTGGGGAAGAGTTCAGAGAGCTCACCATACAATCTCACTTGCCCGCCCATATGTGAATATAGGGGTCGGATTATGTTTACAAACTTTTGGGGCATACCCTGTTGAGCAAGTGTAGTTAACAGCACCCATACAATCTCACTTGCCCAAACGTATGTGAATATAGGGGTCGGATTATGTTTACAAACTTTTGGGGCATACCCTGTTGAGCAAGTGTAGTTAACAGCACTGATCAATCAACAGAATCGAAAGCACCCTTGAAGTTAAGGAATACCAAGACTGTGGGCCGTCTAAACATGTGGCGTTGCTCTGATACCTGACGAAGTGTGAGGATGTGGTCAACGAAGCCCCTACCCGGTAGAAATCCCGCTTGATTCTCACGAGTCAAGGCTTCACATGTTACCCTAAGACGGCGAAGAATCAGTGACCACAGAAGCCTTGTCACAACAAGAGTCAAACTAACATCTCTGTGGTTACTACATTCACAGCGAGTACCCTTTGTGAAAATGGGCACCACTATCGATTCACCCCAGTTGTCTGAGACGGTCGCTTCCTCCCAGATAGACCCAAATAGGCTAGACAGGCACTGGCTAAGAAGTCCACCACCATCCTTGAAAGGAGCAGGTAGAAGGTCGTCAGAACCAACAGCACGATGACGCTTGAGTAGGGAACACCTCTGAAGCTGAAGGTACCTCCATATTCACAGTCCACCTTGCTGTTGAAGGCCAGGATGCAGGATTGTAGGCAGCAGGAGACCAGATGAATTGCAGCTCGAACTGCTGTCCAAACGTTCTGCTTTGCTGTAGATCAGAGAGCCATTTTTGTCCCTGGTTATTTCGCTGACAAGAGGTTTCCGAGGACCAGTCAAACGAACCAAGTGGGACAGCTCGCGGACGTTTTCAGCATTTTTCGCATCTACTATTTCTTCGTCCTTTCGGGTACACCAAGCTTCTCGGTCTACACGGACACTCAGTTTCACCTGGCGTCGGATGATGCGCCGGGTGGAGTTGTGGTGGCGACCAGGTGGAATCTGTCGCCGGGTCTCCAGCAAAGACACGGTCCTATCAGAGATCCAGTGTATGAATGAGGTTGGCTGGGTTGTACCGCAAACAGACTTTCTGGCTTTGAGTAGTGTTTTGGATATCTTTTCCTAGTGGCCATTTATATCCGACATCGTACAAACGGCAGGCGTTTGAGGAGCTGGTTTCGGTAATTTCGCTTCACTTTTGGGTTCACTGGCTTCTTAATGACTAAGGGAAGTGTGCGCGTTTTGAGAAGTGCAATGAAAAGCAGTAGCGTACAGGTGCATGGTCGGAGCTCATGCTGGTGCTCCAGAAAGAGCGACAGATAGTGTTGGACCCTCGCCGCCGATAACTGACGGTGATGTGGTCTATTTGGACTGTTGGTGGGTAAAACGTTGACAAGCGATTTTCGCTGTTCCCGAAATTCGTACCGCAAAGGAACAGTCTGTGATCGGCACACATCTGTGCTCAATGAATATCAATGTCGCCGAGAACAAGTAGAACAGTAACGTATGTCAATAGTGAGCCTGATTTCTTGAAAGCTCCTTGCAATGTAAAGGTGTCCTATACTGATACCCAAACAAACCTGCATAGTTACTCTCCCAAAACAGACCATCCGTTTCCCCGAGTGAAACTACTCACAAGGTTGCAGAACACTGTTCAACAGAGCACGACCGGTTTCGCCTTTCTAGGGGCTCATGAGGTAGGCACAGTCCCCGAGTTTCTACCAACTTTATGTTCTACTTGAACCAAAACTGCACGAAATTCAGGAGATACACGCATTTACAGAGTAACTTGGTTTTCACGGGAGACGCAACTGAATCTCAGCCGAATCTCTCACCTATGACATTCTTCTTCAACTGAATGTGCTGCTTGCCGGAGATGTGTTTTAAAGAGGTCTGCTTAATTGAAACAAGAGACGCCGCATCTAAAATTAAGAGGTTCGTACGCAAGTTAAGTTTCAGAAAAACTCCTAAGTAAGTGGCGAATTGTGCCAAAGTCTGACTATTCCTGGATTAAAAGTGAAGCCGAAAGCTGTAAAAAAAATCGTTCAGTTGTAGCACCTTTTCAGTGCCTAGCTCCTGTGCCACCCAGAGGGATCATGAGGGCTGGGATACTTCCAAGTTGCCCAAGCCTAGACAGGGGACGTCGAGAGGCTGAGGTCGGGTTCGAATAACGGACCTTCAGGTCAGTAAATTCGCACTCTAATCACTTGAGCCATCTCGCTAAACACTGTGCTTGGTTGGGTACTCCGAGTCGACTTTGTATGTCTTTGGAGTATCAAAGTTGGGTATACCAACGACCTCTAAGAGCGAAGTCAATGAAATGAACAGTTTTTCGATTTTTGCGAGGTTGGTTGCTCTTAAGAGGATCAATTATACACGAACACGCAAAGCAATGATGTCAACAAAAAGAAATTATGATTGAGTGAACGCTAGTAATGAGAAAATCAAGAATACAGGTGACTGATAAATTACCTCAGAAGTCATGGAGGCCAATTTGTCGGGATTCACATGTCCCATGAGCACGTTCAGTCGCAGGTTAGGGTTGTTGGAATCCCGCAAGTTCATCACTCGTGTCCGCACACGTTGTTTATACTTTGAATCTGTGTTATTAAATATATCGTAGATTGCACTTTCAATTCGGATGGCTAGAAACTCGCTCTCGTAGGCACCGGAAGGGACATCTGGAGTAAAATTTCGTATACAAGATATACTCACTTCCACATTCTAGGGCGGACTGAATCATTTCGCGAGCCTTTAAACGGAACTGATCTGTTGTGGTCATTGTGTGAACTGGAAAATAGCCTCGGCTAACTGGGACTGGTGCCGGTTCCACAGGTTCTGTTTTCTCTATTCGTGAGTGTTTCGTGTCCGACGGGCCACCATCATCTGAAGCCACACCATTACTGGTGTCAGGTGATCGTTTCATTCCGGCATTCGGAGAACTTGGTTCTACCTTAGCTGTTAAGCAGATAGGAAAATTACATCTATAGAGACAGCACTGAGCGGAAAATTCATTAACAATCGGTTAAATAACGCAGTGGTTCGAATAAAAACTATAAGACTGATACCTCAAGAACGGGCGCTTTCGAACAAGACACAAGGGACTTGAAAGATGTGCATCCATGCAAGAAAACGGCATAAGACGCGCTTTCACCACAAGATGACGTCAACTGATGTGGACCTGACGAAAGCCATGATGAGGTTCGCAAATATCATTCATCTTCTCCAAAATACCGCACCGTCTCAACCGTTCTATCAGCTGTTGCGTCATACAGTGGTGTTCATCTGTTAGTGAACACAGTTAAACCTGGGTATGAGTATACCTGGAAAATTACTTATGCCACTTTTTCATCAGAGCTGCGTTTTACGAGTCTATTGTGGAAGCATAAACTGCACTTCTTGGTGTGTGAGCAAAGAATTGGTTGCTGTGATTGCATTTTGGAGGCCAAGCAGTACGGAAATAGTGTAAATCACATGGGCTCCGACATGCCTCGAGGTGAGTCAACAACAAAAATCATGTACTTGAAAAAATGTAGTCAAAATGCGCTATCAACTCGAAATAAGATACCATCACAACGGATAGCATGACTGTAGACATAAGTCCACAGCAGAAATGTTTGACTAAAGGTGATGGAAACTGCTGATGTGCTGTGGGTCTTCTGTGATGTCCAGACAAACAGGGTGTGGGATATCAGTATTCCGAAAACCGTTTGATTGTTGATTTGTTACCACAGATATTTTCCAGAAGTTTGGGTTTCGAATTTTTGGACCATTACTGCTACGTTGCATATTTTTACGAAAGAATCGCGCTTCTCTCCTATTGGCTAGTTGCACTTTGTGTGCACTAACGCATCTATCATTTTTCAAGGTTGTTCGACATATATATACATCAAACTAACATCTCTGTGGTTACTACATTCACAGCGAGTACCCTTTGTGAAAATGGGCACCACTATCGATTCACCCCAGTTGTCTGAGACGGTCGCTTCCTCCCAGATAGACCCAAATAGGCTAGACAGGCACTGGCTAAGAAGTCCACCACCATCCTTGAAAGGAGCAGGTAGAAGGTCGTCAGAACCAACAGCACGATGACGCTTGAGTAGGGAACACCTCTGAAGCTGAAGGTACCTCCATATTCACAGTCCACCTTGCTGTTGAAGGCCAGGATGCAGGATTGTAGGCAGCAGGAGACCAGATGAATTGCAGCTCGAACTGCTGTCCAAACGTTCTGCTTTGCTGTAGATCAGAGAGCCATTTTTGTCCCTGGTTATTTCGCTCACAAGAGGTTTCCGAGGACCAGTCAAACGAACCAAGTGGGACAGCTCGCGGACGTTTTCAGCATTTTTCGCATCTACTATTTCTTCGTCCTTTCGGGTACACCAAGCTTCTCGGTCTACACGGACACTCAGTTTCACCTGGCGTCGGATGATGCGCCGGGTGGAGTTGTGGTGGCGACCAGGTGGAATCTGTCGCCGGGTCTCCAGCAAAGACACGGTCCTATCAGAGATCCAGTGTATGAATGAGGTTGGCTGGGTTGTACCGCAAACAGACTTTCTGGCTTTGAGTAGTGTTTTGGATATCTTTTCCTAGTGGCCATTTATATCCGACATCGTACAAACGGCAGGCGTTTGAGGAGCTGGTTTCGGTAATTTCGCTTCACTTTTGGGTTCACTGGCTTCTTAATGACTAAGGGAAGTGTGCGCGTTTTGAGAAGTGCAATGAAAAGCAGTAGCGTACAGGTGCATGGTCGGAGCTCATGCTGGTGCTCCAGAAAGAGCGACAGATAGTGTTGGACCCTCGCCGCCGATAACTGACGGTGATGTGGTCTATTTGGACTGTTGGTGGGTAAAACGTTGACAAGCGATTTTCGCTGTTCCCGAAATTCGTACCGCAAAGGAACAGTCTGTGATCGGCACACATCTGTGCTCAATGAATATCAATGTCGCCGAGAACAAGTAGAACAGTAACGTATGTCAATAGTGAGCCTGATTTCTTGAAAGCTCCTTGCAATGTAAAGGTGTCCTATACTGATACCCAAACAAACCTGCATAGTTACTCTCCCAAAACAGACCATCCGTTTCCCCGAGTGAAACTACTCACAAGGTTGCAGAACACTGTTCAACAGAGCACGACCGGTTTCGCCTTTCTAGGGGCTCATGAGGTAGGCACAGTCCCCGAGTTTCTACCAACTTTATGTTCTACTTGAACCAAAACTGCACGAAATTCAGGAGATACACGCATTTACAGAGTAACTTGGTTTTCACGGGAGACGCAACTGAATCTCAGCCGAATCTCTCACCTATGACATTCTTCTTCAACTGAATGTGCTGCTTGCCGGAGATGTGTTTTAAAGAGGTCTGCTTAATTGAAACAAGAGACGCCGCATCTAAAATTAAGAGGTTCGTACGCAAGTTAAGTTTCAGAAAAACTCCTAAGTAAGTGGCGAATTGTGCCAAAGTCTGACTATTCCTGGATTAAAAGTGAAGCCGAAAGCTGTAAAAAAAATCGTTCAGTTGTAGCACCTTTTCAGTGCCTAGCTCCTGTGCCACCCAGAGGGATCATGAGGGCTGGGATACTTCCAAGTTGCCCAAGCCTAGACAGGGGACGTCGAGAGGCTGAGGTCGGGTTCGAATAACGGACCTTCAGGTCAGTAAATTCGCACTCTAATCACTTGAGCCATCTCGCTAAACACTGTGCTTGGTTGGGTACTCCGAGTCGACTTTGTATGTCTTTGGAGTATCAAAGTTGGGTATACCAACGACCTCTAAGAGCGAAGTCAATGAAATGAACAGTTTTTCGATTTTTGCGAGGTTGGTTGCTCTTAAGAGGATCAATTATACACGAACACGCAAAGCAATGATGTCAACAAAAAGAAATTATGATTGAGTGAACGCTAGTAATGAGAAAATCAAGAATACAGGTGACTGATAAATTACCTCAGAAGTCATGGAGGCCAATTTGTCGGGATTCACATGTCCCATGAGCACGTTCAGTCGCAGGTTAGGGTTGTTGGAATCCCGCAAGTTCATCACTCGTGTCCGCACACGTTGTTTATACTTTGAATCTGTGTTATTAAATATATCGTAGATTGCACTTTCAATTCGGATGGCTAGAAACTCGCTCTCGTAGGCACCGGAAGGGACATCTGGAGTAAAATTTCGTATACAAGATATACTCACTTCCACATTCTAGGGCGGACTGAATCATTTCGCGAGCCTTTAAACGGAACTGATCTGTTGTGGTCATTGTGTGAACTGGAAAATAGCCTCGGCTAACTGGGACTGGTGCCGGTTCCACAGGTTCTGTTTTCTCTATTCGTGAGTGTTTCGTGTCCGACGGGCCACCATCATCTGAAGCCACACCATTACTGGTGTCAGGTGATCGTTTCATTCCGGCATTCGGAGTACTTGGTTCTACCTTATCTGTCAAGCAGATAGGAAAATTACATCTATAGAGACAGCACTGAGCGGAAAATTCATTAACAATCGGTTAAATAACGCAGTGGTTCGAATAAAAACTATAAGACTGATACCTCAAGAACGGGCGCTTTCGAACAAGACACAAGGGACTTGAAAGATGTGCATCCATGCAAGAAAACGGCATAAGACGCGCTTTCACCACAAGATGACGTCAACTGATGTGGACCTGACGAAAGCCATGATGAGGTTCGCAAATATCATTCATCTTCTCCAAAATACCGCACCGTCTCAACCGTTCTATCAGCTGTTGCGTCATACAGTGGTGTTCATCTGTTAGTGAACACAGTTAAACCTGGGTATGAGTATACCTGGAAAATTACTTATGCCACTTTTTCATCAGAGCTGCGTTTTACGAGTCTATTGTGGAAGCATAAACTGCACTTCTTGGTGTGTGAGCAAAGAATTGGTTGCTGTGATTGCATTTTGGAGGCCAAGCAGTACGGAAATAGTGTAAATCACATGGGCTCCGACATGCCTCGAGGTGAGTCAACAACAAAAATCATGTACTTGAAAAAATGTAGTCAAAATGCGCTATCAACTCGAAATAAGATACCATCACAACGGATAGCATGACTGTAGACATAAGTCCACAGCAGAAATGTTTGACTAAAGGTGATGGAAACTGCTGATGTGCTGTGGGTCTTCTGTGATGTCCAGACAAACAGGGTGTGGGATATCAGTATTCCGAAAACCGTTTGATTGTTGATTTGTTACCACAGATATTTTCCAGAAGTTTGGGTTTCGAATTTTTGGACCATTACTGCTACGTTGCATATTTTTACGAAAGAATCGCGCTTCTCTCCTATTGGCTAGTTGCACTTTGTGTGCACTAACGCATCTATCATTTTTCAAGGTTGTTCGACATATATATACATGCAGGAAAATATATCTTCCGAGGGTACGGTCCTCTTCCCTCTGTGCTCGGAGCGGTTGGACTCACGTCATAGCTGGGGATTTGTGCGTTCGTTCTCAAGTCGCATATAGCCATTGATCGTACCCATTCAGATCGTAACACAGAGCCAGTTCGCTGTGTTACTTTTTGACACAACGTTGATTCTAGAAAAAGGTAAGGCTATATCAGAGATTTGTCTTAGTCACAGCCTCTAGGTGATAGTTCTCTAAATTTGGAATGCAACACACAAGTGTAAATATGATGGCACTTATTTGTTCCCGATAAGAATAAACGCCAGTGGTGTTTTCTCGGTCCAGCTACATTCGACAAAAGGTGCTTGTAAGTCCGTGGGGTGGGAAACAGCACTGCATGCCACATACACCTCCATGTTGATGGTTAAGCAAGCTGGAATGACTCAAATCAGTACCAAGTACTTTTAGCGGAATTCGCGAACTTTTTTTCATGGTTAATATCTATCACAAGACACTTTTTTGGTCCTTTACGACCATCCAAGATAGCCAGCTCGGACGCTTCCCGTACGAATTCAGTTTAAGATCCCAAATGCTCGTCAGTAAAAAACGCCGGTGTTTCTGAGCAAACTATTAGCAGAACAGACTGGTATCTCTCAATAAACGTAATGGAACACCTTAAAAAAGTTTGTTACGACATTACCACATTGAATATAGTCGACTACAGAAAATCCGGGTTCATCGACTGCTCGACATGCAATTGAAACAGATCATCTGCGTGGCTCATACAACTTATTCTCGGGTTTGTTGCCCGATTCGAAACCGCCAGTGTTCGGTTAACTCACGCTGATCACCACTGGACAACCGACCGTGCATGCGAAGAAAGTACTGGTTAGAAACGTGTGTGTAGCCTGCACCCTTGTGAAACGATTTCATTTAGTTCACCATCTGTTGATATATGACAGCCTTATGAATGTGTCCGCGACCACCTGGGACAACTCGCGTTGTAGCTCGCGAAGTATGTCGCCTTGCCGTTCCAATTGGTTTGAAGCAGTTAAAAATGCCAGGTCTGGTGGTGCACGAAGTCCATACATTCTACGTGGTATTAACAGGTTGAGTGCTAAGGCGTGCTATCATCAGAACTGACAGCATTCGGGCGTATTGAAAATACATTCCTTGCGCTTGTAATCAGCACATAATAAACATACTGTTTTGCACACATGTCAAAAACATTTCGGAGTACTTTTGAATCCGATTACATGAAGTATAATGCGCGATCCAAAATGTTCGCATAGTCGCCTTACGCTAGCTTTTACTTCCTTCACGTGCGGTAGGTAACAAAATCATCTTAGAGGAGTGTGTATTAGCCGCAGTGGGATGTGCTTTTACTAACGTAACTCCCAAAAACAGCACCTCTGAAGCCATATTACAAGGGCTCCTGAATTTACTAGAATTATCACAAGTAGTTGGTTGACCCTATAACTATGAGTAAAATTAGGACCTGCATGTCCGAAGGCAGGTCATAGGATATTAGTGAGCATCACGTTGGTGGAACGGTTATGTGGTGAGGGCTGCGGACCGGGGAGTGTGGGCCAATCAGAATCAAGTCCTCCTATGTAAGCAAGGCTCCGGCGTAAACCTCGTGGGTAGTACTGTGATTTGTCGCGCAAACACAGCTGTCGTGACCTCACCCATTCGCGTTGCAGTCTGTCTCAAGACGCTGTCCAGAAGGGCAGAGAAAGGGTGAATATAGAAGGCAGCCGGCAACAGTGGATTCCATTAGAGATGTCACTGCGCAGAACTAACATATGACGAGAGTGCCGGCTTGCAACAACTCGTTAGCAATTCATGTTTGAAATAAACATTCGGTTGTCGGCGGAGCACACTAAAATAGGCGTGTCATCAAAAGTGACCCAACAGCGTTAGCTTGCACAAGAGCCGTCTGGAAAGTTCTAATAACAAACGAATCCTCATCGAAAATTCACCAAATCAGTAAAGATATGATACTGTGATTGCTTCGTAGCTGTTAGAGTAGATTTGACAAACATATTGAAGAATACCTTCCAGGTTATGAGGATAGACAGCGACTACTCCTTAAACAGGACAGTTCTGAAGAGAAATCCTCATGCGAAAGAATAGCCCACAGGCTCTGCTACTGAGCAACACGGAGCAACACTGAGCACAACACGGAGGACACTTAGCGAAAAACCAACTTGTGTTGAAGGCACTTACTGTGGTGTTTTGGTTGCCCAAGATATGTATAAATGTGTGTACAGGTTTACATAATTGGTGTCTACATCACGCTCATCTGGACAGTTCACCTCCTGTCCTCGCAGGACTAATACAGTTAGTCACCCGAACCACCCACACACAACCAACGTCATTTGAATGGACCATAGCAAACTTATGGCTCAAATGATCAGATAAACAGAATAACCACTCCGGGACCTACAATAGATTTATCTCAGAAACGAACAGTGAATAGATATATCTCTTCCGGACCTAGGCTTGCTGTCATCCCATTCAGAAACAACCGATGGTAAGTTTCCATTACCCTAGCCTAGACAGGGGAGGTCGAGAGGCAGAGGTCGGGTTCGAAACACGGACCTTTTGGTCAGTAAATTCGCGCTCTAACCACTTGGTCCATCAGCAGAGTAAATCCTAAGTGGTAGAGAATTAACCACAGAGTGAATAAAGTTTTAGGTGCATCGAAATCAGGGGATCACAGGGTGCAACACTTGGAACGTCGAAACCGTTCCAATGTCCATCTTTATGCAGAGCGTAAACTAGCGTCAACATTTTCATGTTTCGCTGGAACTTACGAGTCAATTTACGTCGTCAAAGGAGAGCACACCTATTTTGAAAGAAAAGCGCGGGCTTAGATAAATTGAGAAGATTTTTTTATCGGATCAAACACTATTAAAGAGACTAAATACTTGTTCAAGTACATCAACTGAGACGGCCGAAGGCCCTGTAAGTGTTCTCTATAAGTAGATCTGCTTGTATATTCCAAGACACTTTTATAACGGGTGCTCTGAATTTCGGGACAATGCTCCTTTCGTTTTTGGTAGAGTGCCGCACACAGACAGTGATTAGGTGAGGTCATCATCACTAACAAATAAACATACCTGGAACTAACTTCTTCCACTGTTTTATTATGTTCTTCCCCAGTGTTGCTACTTCACTGTTCCCGGACTCTTTTCGGATTTTGTTAATGATGATCCCAACTCCGGTCTTTGTTAGGATGTCCAGCGTCATTTCGACTCCACGTAGGCGCTTCAGGTACTTCAAAGCGGATTCCTCATCCTGGTAAGCAGATCATATCCAGTCTCACACATTAACTCACTATATTGCCACTCTTCAACATTTTTTCCAATCGTCGGGCAATTTTCTCTGTCTCTTCCATCGTGATTAAGTGGTACCAGGAAAGGGACTACACCACAGCCTCAGATTCGAGCGGATAAACGAAAGACAAAAATCTGAAACATAAGTTAATTACATGCTGAATGAGTAATGTGCCGCGGTCTGACCCTAAACTGAGTTATAAAACTCAGGTCAATTATGTTCAGCCAAAACCTGTCATCCATGCAGCAGATTGATAACAAACTTGTAAGTCTTAGCATGTAAATCTTCCATCGGGCAGACAGCAGTCACCGTGCGATTTGAAGTCTCATCAAAGGTTGACCATCTCTCAGTCTCCGCCACTTTGAACTGGGTACTCTTTTGGCAAACGGTGATTCAGCATGCGCAACACATGACCAAACGACCGCAGCTTTTGTTGCCGGACACATTCTTCAATTGAAGCTCCTGTTGCACAACCAAACATTCCTCAAGTCGTCTCGCTGCGGATTCGTCGACAAAAGCCTAGATAAACCATAGTTCTGAGGCAACAGTTAGTTCCGGTGCTCGAACAGGCCACGTCTCAAACCATACGACAAAACAACCTTAGCCTGGTACACACTTTCCTTGAGACTCAATGATATGCCCTTTTGTTGCAATACACGTCCCAACTTAGCAAACAAGACCGCAGCCTTACAGGTTCACGCATTAACCTTATCTGTCACAATACACTAGGAGCTAATACAACTCCCAAGACACACTGAACGCCCCACAACCTCCGGTGCCTCCCTTTGGATTGTAATTCGGGTGTTTGGTGGCCGTATGTCCAGGGGCAAGAACTTCGTGAATGCAAAGCGCATGCCAAACAATGGGAAGACTCTAGTCAGTCTATCCAAAGACATGTGTCCTTTTCTCATCTTCCAAGACGAGAACGATGTCGCATGTACATTCCAAGCCTACAAGGCCTTTCCCGGCAACTATCCGAACACCAAGGTTTTGAAGACCTGTTTCGTTTTGTTTCACAAACAGACAGCATTTTTCGCACCTTTCAGGTCCACCAAGCTTCTCGGTCTGCACGGATACTTATTTTCAACTGGCGTCGGATGCTACGTCGAGTGGAGTTGTGATTGCGGACAAGAGGGATGTGTCACCGGGTCTCCAACAAAGACACGGTCCTATCAGAGATTCAATGTATGAATGAGGTTGGCTGGATTGTACCGCAAACAGGCTTTCTGGCTTTGAGTAGTGTTTTGGATATATTTTCCCGGTGGTCATTTATATCCGACATCGCACAAATGGTAGGTGTTCGAGAAGTTGGTTTTGATAATTTCACTTGACTTCTGGGTTCTATAGCTTCCCAATGGCTAGGGAAGGTGTGTGCGTTTTGCGTACATCTGAGAAGTACAATGGAAAGCAGCAGCGTACAAGTGCATGGTCAGAGTCCACGCTGTTGTTCCAGAAGGGTCGGCAGTTAATCTTGGAGCCTAGCTACCGATAATTGATGGCGAGGTGGTCTAATTGGATTAGGGGCTGGTTGGTTGGTGGGTAAAACGTTGTCAAGCGATTCCCGCTATTCCGGAAACTCGTACTGCAAAAGAACAGTCCGTGATCGGCACACATCTGAAGTAAGTGATATCCGCTGTCCGCCCGTCTCGTCTCCAATCCAAGATCACCCAATCGGGTCTCAGAAGCGCTTAGTCTACTTGCCTGGGCGTTCAGGTCACCAGCAACCACCACGATATCTAGGCTTTAAGCATGTTGTAGACGGGCCATATCAGTGGTTAGAGACATTGTCAGACATGGCCCAGTCGTACCCTCAATGGCGCTCATGCATCCAAGCTATCGTCTTCAATGCATATCTCCCTTCCTAATCCTTCCACTTAACAGTCCACCTACAGTACCGTATTCACGCACTAATTTATCAGCTCCCGCCTCCAATGCGCAGCTGCCTACCCCACCTCCCGAATCATCGGAGAACAAAACTGTAGCACCTACAACCACTGTACGACAAGTACGCGATTATTACAGCTGACAAGGATGATGATGATGTACAAGGGCACCTAGAGAGTCGTAGAAACTGTCCTTGGCAGATTCAGAGCTACAGCCATTTTGGGAGAAAGCAGACACCATAAAGACGGTGCAATGGACCTTACTTCCTATACATTCTCTCACAGATGTTGCCAAACAAATCACACAGCGGCGACTATCAACCAGTATCCAATCAAGCAGAGACGCTTCTGCTCGGTCGCTCAATACAATACCCACCCTAGCATATCCAGCTGTAGCGACCTCAGAGAGTGAAGGGCAGTCAGTCCGATCACAGTACTTGCGACCTGAATCCTTGTTTCTGACAAACAACATACGTCAATACAGAGGGAATCCAGTGTACGACCAAGAGCCACATCTTGACCTGCTTGCTTTAGTGTGCGAACATCAAAGGTGGTTAAGTAGACAGGCTGTCGGGGTTTGAAAACAGACTTCGAAGTGTTTATGGTTGTGACTAAATTTAAACGTACAGAAGCTGCAACTATGTGGGATGCAGGGCGAGCAAAACGGTCAGTCCCAGTGTTGGGATCTGCGGAGAAAGTATTTAGATTTGGGTGGGGGAGAGGAGAAGACGGAAACGTGGAAGTGTAAGAAGAAAGGCGTTAGTGGTAGCGTGTTTTCGCTTACCCGCCCTGCTGTAGACAGCAAGGCGAACCGGCTGATTGCACAGCGTGACGGTAGGTGTGGCATCAGAGTATTGTTTGCTGTAATTTCATGGTTGTGCGATGGCTGGTATATTGCCAAGAGAGCCCCCACCTAGACGGAAGGATGATTAGAGTCCGCAACCAAAGCCTTTGGATCAAAAGTTTAACCGCAATGCAGCGGTGTTGGGATGGAGATGCGAGTACACTACCAATTTTACGGAACACGTCGCCACACATGTTCCAACCCCCCTGCCTGGAAGACCAGGAGACTGTGTTCATCAGAACTCTACCCATTGACCAACCTGGTATGAGACTCTGAGTTTCGCGCGGACATCCCTCAGTACAGCTCAGTGGGTCGCCGAGGTACACAAACCACCACACCACGGTAAGGTCTAGTCTCTTTGTGACTCAGTTCGTCTTGTATCGATTTTGCGTGCACCATCCACTCTTCACATGGCGCCGACATCCTCAGGTATCTCCAAATCAATCCTCAAGCCTTGACGCCTAGTCTATCTGGCTACGTTCAATGTCCGCATTCTGAAGCAAGCTGGACAAGCTGCTCTTGCTCTCACACTGGACTCGCTTGGCATTGATGCGCACTGTGTCTCAGAAACAAGAATTCAAGATGCACGCACAGTGGCTGAGCTAACTGTTCCATCACTCTCCACTCGCTTCCGGCTACGCAGCTCTGATGACCCGGAGGCTGCTGCGGCAGGATGTGAAGGAGTTGGTATTATCTCAAGTCACCGGGCGGAAGGATTCTCGCTTGACTGGATACTTGCTGACAATCGCCTCTCAGCGGTTTGTCTGGCAACGTCTGTGAAGGGAAAGTTAATCGATGTCTGTTTATCGTATCTGATTGCGCCCCAACTGACTGTAGCTCCGACGCCATCAAAGACAGGTTTTACGACGCCCTGAATGCCCTGCTGCGGCGAGCTAAAAACTAAGGTACCGTGGTGGTTGCCGGAGATATGAATGAACAAATGGGCAGGCTTAGCATCGACATGGACTGGACTTGGCACGTACGGACAACGGGGGACGAGTACTTCAGATGTGTGCTGATCGCAGGCTGTTTTTATGCAGCAATAACTTCCGAAGTAGCCGTCGTCATTGTGCCCTCCAACGGCATGCCGGCCACAAACTCCAATCAATCACATTGCTATCAGTTACCGATAGCGCGGATCAATTACTGACTTCCGGCCGTTTCAGAACACATTTGGGGATTCCGACAATGCGCTCATCTGGAGTTGCTTCTCCTTACGTTTTCCTGGGCCGTGTAAGGTGCGAAGAAATTGCTCAGCAACTGAGACTGGCAGATCCAGATGTTAGACGAACTTACCAGAATCATCTTCTAGAGTCTCTTCCAAATTCTACACTATCAAATGTGAACACATATTGGGACGAGATCGCTAACTCTTCGCATAGTGCTGGGAATTTTACCTGTGATACGGCACCACCAGGCGCACTCGAGCATTGGATATCAAACCGAACGGTAGGGGTTGCGTTGACCAAATCTTCACGCTTCGTCAGGTGCTAGAACAACGCCATACTTATAAGCGACCCACAATTTTAGTATTTCTGGATTTCCTAGGCACTTCTTAAATCTCGGAGAGATATACCAGCCGGCCCCGAACATAACTTGATCATTACATCACTCAAGCTTGACCACCATGTCACGGTGACAGCTTTAGATTGGGCTTGCAACCATCAAACACCTCGCTCGTATTATTACATATTCCCGGAGATACGTTGACATGGCACGTGATGGTCACACAGTCATGTGGATACATTGCATTTTAGTGCAAATACGTTAGGCCCCAACAACTGAAGATAGTGGGTCATAATAAGGCTCTGGCACTGAGGACACAGGTTCAGATCATGAACATGTCTACGCCACGCCTAAAATCCACTAAAATCCACCCTCAAGAGCGCATAAACACTGCACCACACGGTCACGCTAACGAGCCCCCGAAGATAACAACCGGATCAGACCTTAGCAGCCCTAATCAATCTGGAAATGCATTGATCATGGAAACCGTCGGTGCACTACGTTCGAAACCTCAGTACAATTCATCGAACATCAGTTAGACGATGTGGGAGAATAGAAAAATGACGGGGTATCCGGAAAGAAGTGACAGAAGACCTCGCATCAAAGCGGCTGACTACCGCATGCTGAGAAGTTAGAGCACATGGTTCGCCAGCGGGCCCCGAACATGAACTGGGCATCCAACACGCTACTTTGCCTTACTTCGTCTCACATGAACAGCTTCAGGAAACTCCTCTATCAATAAAGTTTGCTGTGCAACGCAAATGGATAGTTAATCAGTTCACATAAAAAGATAACCAGCTTCGCATGACGGCAACTGCAAAGAGCCAA